ACAAAGGATGACTGCTGTGGGTCCAGCCCAGATTCACAAGCAATGTGTGGTTTCTAAGTCTTTCCAGCCCATGGAGACTCCTCTGCCTCTCTCCTCCCTGTGCTCCATACCTGCCCTTCTCATGAGCAGCCCCAGGATGAGGTGCCAGATGTAGCATGCAATCCCAGGCTTGGACCAGTTGTCCAAACATCCTCCTCCTCCGTGATGTAACCAAAGACCATCACGGAAGCTTCCTCCAGCTGTGGGTGAACAGGTTCAGGCACCCTGAGGAAACCTACTGGGGGGACATATGACTCACAAAGGGTTGAGATTTGGGTGTCCTCAACAGAGAAGGACATGGAGCTGTTGGAGCAAGTCCAGAGGAGTCCACGAGGATGATCAGGGGCTGGAGCACCTCCCATATGAAGACAGGCTGAGAAGGTTGGGGCTGTTCAGCCTGGAGAAGAGAAGGCTGCATGGAGACCTCATAGCAGCCTTCCAGTATCTGAAGGGGGCCTATACGGATGCTGGGGAGGGACTCTTCTCTAGGGACTGTAGTGACAGGACAAGGGGTAACGGGTTAAAACTTAAACAGCGGAAGTTCAGGTTAGATATAAGGAAGAATTTCTTTACTGTGAGGGTGGTGAGGCACTGGCACAGGTTGCCCAAAGAAGTGGTGAATGCTCCATCCCTGTCAGTGTTCAGGGCCAGGTTGGACAGAGCCTTGGGCAACACGGTTTAGTGTGAGGTGTCCCTGCCCATGGCAGGGGGATTGGAACTGGATGATCTTAAGGTCCTTCCCAACCCAAACCAGTCTGTGATTCTATCACTACAGCTTATGGGAGCTGTGGTTGCTCAGTCCTCCAAACAGCTGCCAGCAAAACAGTCCAGGCAGAAAACCTGCACAGTTGGTGGCCCCAGTGGGCTGGTGGCCCCGAGGACATGTACATGGCTCTGGTATCAAATGGGTCTCCCCAAGGTGACTGTGGTGCAGGGGAGGAAGGGCTGCACCATGGTGCAGCAGAAACCATGGAAAGAATGAGGGAGGTTCACTCTTCGAGACAAGTTCTTTGGGGTGTGTTGTCGGGACCTGGCTGTATGGTTGCTGGACTGGCAATCTACATCCAGCCAGCACAAGCTGTTGAGGTGGCAGGCTGGTATGTGGCCCCAGGCTTTTCAGTTGCTCAATCATGTGCAGCAGGGAGGAAAACACCGGGTCTGCAAGGGCTGCTATGGGCTGGGAGTAAGATGAGCAATAAGTTAGGTGAAGAAAGCCCAAGCCAAATAAAGACAGTCAGCTAAAAGGTAAGACAGAAAGAAAAACCAAACAAATCCTGCACAGGCTGGAAAGTGGACTATTACTCTTAGATTTGCCTGAGCCAAATAGCTAAAGGCATGATAAATGCCAAGTTGTTGCAATTTAAAACTTCTGCAAGTGCAGCAACAGGCCTGTGGACCCGAAAGATGCATCCTAAGCTCGTGTGGATGCTCAGGTAGAGGAGCAGAGGTAGAGGGTCTGAAGCCTTTTGGCCACTGGCACTCCAGTAATAAGAAATCAATGCGAGCCTCTGGCCTGAGCCTTCCAGGGAGTCCAAGTTCTGGAGAATGAACAGGGATGAGCTAGAGCAGTTCATGGACAGTCTGAGGGTGAAACAAGGATGTGTCAGCGGGTATTTTAACTGGGTCACAGCAAGAATGGAAGGAGACTCCAAGAATTGACTTTTGCCCCAACTTCCAACTAGGAAAGGCTGTGCTAGCCATGAGGCCATGGCTGGGGTTGCCATTAGCTGGCACCAGTTACCTGGCAGAACAGGTTCCTGTGTGACAACTGCATTACAGGAAAAGGAGAGAGGAAATGAAAAGCTGAGGAACAGCTAATAAGGGCCCTTTAACACAGGGTTAACCTAGTTAACTGGGCATGACCAATGATCCCCTTCTAACTCGATGCTGAAGGCAGGAGACACAAAAGACCAGCAGATCAGGGAAAAATCTGTACTGCCCAGATGCATGTTAAACACTGAGTGATCCCAGACCAGAGCCTTGCCAGAGCTCATGTGCAGCAGCCTGGAGCATCTGGGCTCTCCCAGAGCAATCTGTCATGTGTGATGTCGGTCAGCTCAGATCACACCTTTGTTTTGCTTAAGTAGATGTTCCTCCTCCTCCTCCTCACCTCATCCACTCCCCGCTGGGGAGAGAAGTACAATGATTACTGGCAGGTTCTGGGCAGAGCTGTGCCATCACGCCACAGCTCTGCCTCACCACACCTTGGCTGTGGTTGGTGCTCATCACAGGAAAGAGAGCAGGGAGAGTAAGCCCAAGCCAGGGAGTACCAAGCTGGCCCAGAAGCAGAGCTATCATTCCACCTGACATCTACTTTAATATCTTTACTATGATCAGGATGAGGGGATCAAATGCACCCTCAGTCACTTTGCAGAGGACACCAAGCTGGGTGGGAGCGTTGATCTGCTGGACAGCAGGAGGTTCTGCAGGGGGATCTGGACAGGCTGGATCCATGGGCTGTGGCCAACTGTATGAGGTTCAACCAGGCAAAGTGTCAGGTCCTGCACTTTGGTCACCACAACCCCATGCGATGCTCCAGGCTTGGGGAAGAGTGGCTGGAAAGCTGCTCATGGGAAAGGACCTGGGGGTGCTGACTGATGGTGCTGAATGTGAGCAGCTTGTGCCCAGGCAGCCAAGAAGGCCAACAGCATCCCGGCCTGTACCAGAAACGGTGTGGCCAGCAGGGCCAGGGCAGTGATTGTCCCCTGTACTGGGCAGTGGTGAGGCTGCACCTCTAATCCTGTGTTCAGTTCTGGGCCTCTCACTACAAGAGAGACACTGAGGTGCTGGAGCAGGTCCAGAAAAGGGCCAAGGTTGCTATTGAAGGGTCTGGAGCACAAGTGTGATGGGGAACAGCTGAGGGACCTGGGGGGGGTTAGTCTGGAGAAGAGAAGGCTTAGGGTTAGGTTTAGGGTTGCAGCGAGGTGAGGCATGCAAATTCGGTTGCAACTACCTGAAAGGGGGTTGCAGTGAGGTGAGAGTCGGTCTCTTTTCCCAAGGAACAAGCGATAGGACAAGAAGAAACAGCCTCAGGCTGTGCCAGGGGAGGTTTAGATTGGATATTAGGAACAATTTCTTCACAGAGAGGGTGATAAGGCATTGGAACAGGCTGCCCCGGGAATGGTGGAATCACCGTCCCTGGAAGTATTGACAAACTGTGTAGACAAGGCCCTTAGTGGTGGCCTAGGCAGTGCTGCGGTAATGGTTTGGATTTTATGATCTTAAAGGTCTTTTCCAACCTGGCTGATTCTATGATAGTTGTATCTTTCCAAAGACAGGGGTATGGGCCACACAGTCAGGGCAAGCGTTTCCCCCCTTGCTCCGCAGCTCCAGTTACAGGGATCCTCTTCAGTTCCCATCACAACCCCTCTGTTCTCCAGACAGGAGACCAACTACTATGTTCTCAAAGACCACTGCTGGCCCAGCTGGTCTCCTTCTGCCCAACTGCTGTGCATGGACAAGCTACATGGATGTTTCCCTTCCATGGCATGTCACAGACAGGCTTTTACTCTACAGCATGTTACAAGGCAGATTTAAGCCCTGCTACTCACAAGCACAGCTGAGTATCATTACTGGACAACGCAGAACAGAAAAGCAGGGAAAGATGCTTTTGGAAATAAGATGCCCCCTTTCATTTGCTTGATCTCAAGAGTATCTAGTACAGGAGAGCAGTTTAAGTAGAGAGGGAAAAAGCCAGTTTGTTTCTCCCTAAGGGCCTCTGTCTGACTGAGAGCTTCTGAACTAGCACTCTCAACCTGTGGTGTCTCAGGTCCCACCATGATTAGAATCATAAAATGGTTTGCGTTGGAAAGGACTTTAAGATCGTCCAGTTCCAACCCCCTGCCATGGGCAGGGCTCTTCCTATGAAAGACCCTGTGGCACACATCAAGAAAGCACAGGTTTCAACATATAAAAGTCAAGCAACACAGGCTGACACAGCTTGCATGGACCACCAGCAAAGACCAGGAATGACCTAAAGATTGTGCTTTCTGAAAAATGCAACAAGTGATGGATTAAAAGGGGTGACTGAGGTGCTGCAAGAATCATTCCTGTTCATAGGGAACCACACTTGGGGTGTAGCTAAACCAGTGGGCTACTCGGTTATTATTTTAGGACAAGAAGGTATCTACATTAACCCCAAACTCAAATCTTGCCTTTCCCCTGCTCCCAGCTGTGTGATAGACACTAAGGCAAAAACACTATGAGGAAGACTCAAGCACTAGTTTAGGGGCAGATTTCTTTCAGGTAGGTGTAGAGAGTGATAAGGTCCCCCCTAAGCCTTCTCTTCTCCAGACTAACCCCCCCCAGGTCCCTCAGCTGTTCCCCATCACACTTGTGCTCCAGACCCTTCAACAGCAACCTTGGCCCTTTTCTGGACCTGCTCCAGCACCTCAGTGTCTCTCTTGTAGTGAGAGGCCCAGAACTGAACACAGGATTAGAGGTGCAGCCTCACCACTGCCCAGTACAGGGGACAATCACTGCCCTGGCCCTGCTGGCCACACCGTTTCTGGTACAGGCCGGGATGCTGTTGGCCTTCTTGGCTGCCTGGGCACAAGCTGCTCACATTCAGCACCATCAGTCAGCACCCCCAGGTCCTTTCCCATGAGCAGCTTTCCAGCCACTCTTCCCCAAGCCTGGAGCATCGCATGGGGTTGTGGTGACCAAAGTGCAGGACCTGACACTTTGCCTGGTTGAACCTCATACAGTTGGCCACAGCCCATGGATCCAGCCTGTCCAGATCCCCCTGCAGAACCTCCTGCTGTCCAGCAGATCAACGCTCCCACCCAGCTTGGTGTCCTCTGCAAAGTGACTGAGGGTGCATTTGATCCCCTCACCCATATCATTGATAGAGACATTAAACAGAACTGGGCCTAGGAGTGAGCCCTGGGGAACACCACTTGTGACCATCTGCCACATGGGCTGAACTCCATCCACCACCAGTCTTTGGACTCAGCAGACACTTTGACTTGGTCTACAACTTTTATTTCAAGGAGCAGAATTGTTTTGAGCATATTCACAAGAATAAATATAAAATTACTCTTCAGAGTAAGAAGATGAGTTTTTATAAAAATATATCTCTATCCCACAGAACCACCAAGGTGGGGTTCTCATGAGGAAATAATATTTAGTAAAAAAATAAAACACTGAAAATAAAATGCTTGACCTATACTGATTGGATCACCAAGCAACTGAAATTTTTACAAAGATATAAATATTGTAAATATTGTTAATAAAAATAACATTTAAATAGATGAGAAGTCAATGAGTCCATCCAGATGAACAGAACACTGTAGGAAGCCACCATTTCTTCTACAGGGCACCAACTTCCTTGTATTCACCCGCATTCATTTGTCTCTTCTTGTTTTGGTACCTGGAAGTAGAGAAGTGTGAGTTCTGGAAAGCCAGTTGTTCCAAAAGACTTTTTGTGGGGTGAAGGGGGGTGCAAGGAAGAAAAAGGAAATGCTGCATGACCTCCTCACATTTGTTTTAAACCTCTAGTAGCTAAGCTCTGTCTGTGATCACTTCCATGTCTGAGATAACTTTCAGGCAGTCTCATGTCTCATCTCTTCACTAAGGTTGTCCCATCTGCATTAATGTCTTCCTATTGATACTAGCTTTGTCTTGGAGAAATCCTGCTGGATCCTTGCCTGCAATAGGGCTGAGCATCCTAACCAACTTGGCCACCTTGTGTTTGAAATGATGTGCCATCTAGTCTTCATGCAGGGAAGAGGAATTACAGTGATCACCACCTAGCTGTCAGATGTGTGAAGCTGAGCTCTCTTCTCTGAGGGCTGTTCCACCTTCTCAGATCTCTCTGACAGCGGCTTATTGTTAGTTTTTAGTCTGAAGAATGACCCCTGCTGCTTGTGGGTCTGTTAATGGGGAAGACTACTATCCTCCCTGGTAAAGCAGATAAGGCATTGCTTGTGATATCACAGTCACCACAATAACACAACTGATAAAAATCACTGATCCAATTGTCCTCCAGTACCGGATGATGGGGGAAATAGCATTACGAAAAAAAAGGAACTAGAATTTCCCTGTTCTCTGTCTGCTCTCTCCTTTAGCTCAACACACCTTCCAAGACAGACATGAACTATCTGTCTATCAGGGTTAGAAGGCATCAGAAGATACTGCTGCCTAGCCTGCAGTTTGGGTTATGCTATGCATTCAGCATACTTTACTAAGCGCAGGCTAGCAGGTCTGTCTATCAAACCAGCTCCATTCAGTCAAGTGAACATAGGTACCTTGCTCTATCTGGAGGTACTCAGGGGACATCTTGCTGCAAATACAGGGGATTAGCCTTCCTGAGCCACGAAGCATATCTTGCTTACCTTCTGCAGATGTAGTAGCTTGCAATGGAGATGGCGATGAGGAAAAGCAGAACGACGATAACTGTCAGTGCCACATACTCCTTACTGAGGGGCTGTCTAACCAATTCTGAATGCACACATCGGACACCAGAGAAGCCTACATCACACCTGAGGATCAGAGATGCACAATTAGAGACACAGCCATGGGGTTACACTTTAGCAGTCCACAAAGCATGCTGTACTGCTAGCCTGCTGGCTCCTCAGGGACAAGCAATTAGAACCGATGTACTGCAAGCCAACGTGGTCCTAGAAATGGTTGCAAACTCTTCAAATAAATGAGGAATACCCTTTAAAATACCTAGAGGGTCTTTATTTTGCAGGCTGAATCCAAGGAGAAACCTGGTTGCTTTGCCTGAGGTCTGGATCTCACACTACTATAAACATAGATGGCAGGGAAGAGCATCAGAATGAGTGTCCCAAGTTTAAGTTTGGCTGCTGATTAATTTCATGTGCCTAAAACTCTCACCTAGGTTTCACTGGAGCCAGCACATATGCTTAACACTTGCTTAAATGCAGCTGAGGTGTTTTATAGATATATTGCTCCTCTTTAATGTCTTGTAATCATTTGAATACTTTGCTGGATGGGTGTTCCAGCTAAGTGCCAAGAGCAGTAAGATGAAAGGCCCCATGCAGTTCACCTCCAAGCCCACCTCAGGGAGGTCTGCAGAACGCATCATGCCCACTTCATACCTGCAGTAGTGTTCATCCAAGTCCACTATGTACACGCACTGCCCATGGAAGCAGTAGTCCTTCATTTCAGGCTTGCATCTAGTTATCCCAACTTGAGCCACACGTGGACTGTTCTCTGTCTGGACTACAAAGAGATTTTGTTAGCATCTCATCAGCCTTATTTCCGCTTTGTATTTCCCAAACAATGTATAAGCTGTACAAGTACAGCTAATAGTGTCACTACCAGGAGACCTACAAAGCAGCAGGAGGTGACCCTTCTGAACAGGGAGAGGATTTTCCCAGGCCAGAGTTATATTGACTTTTGGGAGTTCCACATAAGCTATTTCTGCTTTCACAGCAGAGTTCACACTTCAGGAAGAACTCTTCAGCTACAGAAGCAATATTAAAGGAACTGTAGGCTAAAACCCAGCCCTTGTTCAACAATGCTGAACACTCTGCAGGATGTTGGCCGTGTTGTTCAACAGAAAAATTATTCCAAGAGCACCTCAGTGAGGCCACTAGGAAAAGAAGATGGGAACCCAAGACTTGTTCACTACAGAGAGAGCTGAGCAGTACACTTACTTAGTGCTGTCGTGCAGTTCTCTATTTCACCAGGCCCACATAATGGGATCACTGTTGTGCCCAGGACTGCTTGCAATAGGTAGCCTACAAAAGAAGAGTCAAAACTAGCTGCTTTTCAAGTGTAGTTAAGTATTTCAGGTTGTGTATTCATCAAGTTAATACAAGAACAACAGAAACTTTTACGTTAGGAAAACCCGAGTGTTGTAAGCTGAAAAAACACAGGTCTGAGAGATCTGCTGCCTGTATCATATAAGGCAGCCCAAACAAACATCTCTGAAATACAAACTTTAATGTAGAACAGAGATCAAACAGAAATATAATGCCTGTGACCACCTCTCACCCACACTCAGAGTGAAACTGTGCAGGAACAGGCTTGGAGAGATTACACAGGAGAGGCAGAAATTAGGCCAACACTGATTATGTTCCGTTTCTGACTGGTCTGGCATGACACCTGCACAAGGGACCCTGCCAGATTTCTGCAATTAGGCATGACAATCCAGCATTCATGGCAGGAGGAGTTCTTTTGGTGATCCAAATCATGACATCCCTGAGTCACAGCAGTGCAGGGGCAGAGCATTTCCTAGGACTCAGCAAGCCCGTGCAGCTGATGATGCAGTGCAGCAGGTCAGTGCTGAGCCAGGCTCAGTGACCCCCAACTTCAGAGAGCACATCCGGCTTGAGGAAGGCTTAACACCAAAGCTACTCTTTAGCAGCAAAGAGGTTCCTCAGCTGCTGAGGTGGTGTAGCAGCCTGAAAGGTTGGACAGTTCCTGCACTGCCACCTGCTCCCACACAGACCCTCTTCATCAGCAGTTACTGGCCACTTCAGGGGTCTTGGGCCTGTGTTCCTCATCTCAGCAGAACCCCAGGAGAAAAAGGGTACATTTCTGTCTTCCCTTCACCATCCACACTGAGGAAAACTGCAGCTCAGTAGGTTTGATGTGGCTACCAGACATAATGAGAGGCTGAGGAGTTCCGCTACTAGAGCTGTGGCTGCATTTCCTCAGGGAGCAAGGACCTTCCTTCCCTTCTCCCAGAGATTCAGCTTCTAAAGCATCTGGACATCTTTGAGGCTGTAGAGTGCTGCACAGGCAGAGCTTTCAGGTATTCTCCTAGTTAAATGAACATTACTGAATATGATCTGAAGGCCAACACAAGTGCCCATAGCCTCACGGCTGGCCCCAGAGGAGCAGTCAGTGTTTGTCCCAGCTGGCCATGAAATGCAGTTGGCTAACACTTGCTATTGTGGTCACAAACTAACCTGCTGGTGAACTGCTTAGTCATCAGCACCATGCCACACCAGTTGGTAATTTGTGTCTTTGGGCTGTTTGCCTCTATTAACTTGTCAGGTCATGTATGTCTAATGGAGGGAGTGTGCCTTCATAATTTCTTGATCACTCTAATTCAAGTCCAGTTATTAGAAAGTTTCATTACATCTCGGAGTTAAATCTAGGAGTGATTTATGGACTTCCTGCAGCTCCTCTGTTTCTGAGTGATTAGCAGGTTTCCTTCAAGCTTTATTCTAGTTAAAACAGGTCTAGTGGAAGGTGTCCCTGCCCAAGGCAGTGAATGATCTTTAAGGTCTCTGCTAATCCAAACCATTCTATGATCTATGATTCTAGATACAAGAACAGCAGGAATATCCATCCTGGAGGGACAAGGAGGGTTGTGTGCTTGTGTAGCTTTAAAAAAACCACTCCATGTCTTTACCTCCCTCTCCACTGCATTCCTTGCAAAGCTAATACACCAAGCTTTAACAGAAAGAACAAAGACTAGGGCCACCAAAGGGAGAGCCACAGTAACACAGCAATGATGCCAGCACCCTGACTTGTACAGGAGTAAGCTGGAGCCATCTGTGCCTGCTAGCATGAGTCAGCAGCACCTGCCTTTCACTCCACGGGCAGGACAAGTAAGTTTACTTTCCCGGTGGGACTTTTTTATTATTAACACTACTGTACTCACTATAGACTTCATGAGGAGAAGCAACTGAACACTTCTGCAAGGCTATAACAGAAACGTGAAGTGTTTGAAGGCTAAAGCCATCCACTGATAGATGGGGGAAGTTCAGTTACTGACAGAACAGCAGCTTTGAGCTTCCTTAAGGGACCCATGTTCCAAATGATGCTAAATCTCTCCCAGAGGAGATCTGCTGAGTCAGTCCTCCTTCCCAGGTACCAGAGAGACATTTCAGAAGTGCTCCATGGACTAAGCTGCTCACTCAGCAGGGAGCAGCTGTGGCACAGATCAGCTCTGTCCCACTAAGGTTACAACATGTGTTTGCAAAAAGGGATGCTGAAATCCTGAGAGTAGCCAGAGTTAGTGACTGAGGCTTCCTCCTGCTCCCCATGTACAGCTGCTATCATCTCTGGGCTGTGGCAGGTTTTATGGCAGGATTTAGTCTGGGGGCCACATGACAGTAATGAGCAGAAATCAAGGCAAAAAGATGCTAGAGGTACCTGGGATACTCACTTGTGTTGTACTTGGTTAAATAGATGGATTAAGCCATCTGGCACTCTCTATTAACCTACATATTTTTGTTCCAGTTTACATACTTCCTTGATCTGAGCATAACCTGAGCAATTGCTTTTTAATCTCAAGCTCTTAGAGAGTTTCCAGAACCCAGTTTTTGCATTCAAGAAACTCAAACCCAGGCACATGAAAGAGATGGGTCAGCTCTTCTCCTGGCTCCAGGAGGAGACACTGCTTTCCAGCTAGAAAAAAGGCCAAAACTCAACATCTATGAGGCATATTAAAAATAACCTCCTCCTCCAACACTGAACCACACATGGCTTGCCCCATTGCAGCCACAACTGACAGCCTGCTCTGCCTGGCTGCAGCCACATAGCCGGAAGGGCTGGAGCAGGTGTGGGTATGTGTTGACACCCAGCAGTATTTGTCACATCGGGGCAAAGTTCCTCCTGCTCTGCACTGTTATATTTTGCCCTTTCCCCCATGCACGTATTTCCCCTCTGACATCAATGGGAGGGGTATCCTGAAGGAGGATAAGGGATCCACACACAGGAATGGCAAAGGAGAGCCTTTCCCAGGATTACTGGGTGATGGATACCAAGCATAGCACCTGGGAGAGGTCATTATGTTCTTACACCTTCACTGATCACTAAGCAAACACAGCATAGAAGATAGCAGTAACAAGATGGTGGGTATTCACGTGTGCCTTGCAGGAATGCGAATGCTATGCTGATGCTCCAGTGGCACGCACATGCAACACTATCTGGTCCTGGAGGTGTTCCTGTCAGGTTGACACCAACAGCAGTGGCTGTTACTGGAACAGTAATAGTCTCAGGCTTCTGGGAGGTCAATCACCATTTCAGTTGGCTTTGACTGTCACTGAGCTCACTAGTTAATCTGAAGAAGACCCTGCAATGCTGCTTCACATCTGACATCCCTGTGATCTCTCTGCCACAGCAGTAGCACCTACACCTTTCACATGGGTTGCAATGCCAAACACAGAGGTGTCCATGTGACACACACCTACAGGATCTCAGCCTATTTTAACTCTGGAGACAGGTCAAGGTGAGTACCCCTTACCTGATTTTGGACACCCAGAGCACATCTGTCTAAGGCCTTCTTGGTGTAGACTAGGCAGGAATCATGGAAGTTAGCCAGTCCTATTGGCTTTCTGAGCACTGCTATTAATACCGTTTAACTCCAGAGCATTGCCTTCCATCCCTCTCTGCTGGTAACCTCCCTAGCTAGCCACAGCAGCTCACAGGCCACCTCAGACAAAGCAAGCACTTCTGGCAACAAAGGCTAGGTGGGTGGCTGTGGTTTAGATGAAGATCATAGAAACTTAGATTTAGCCAGGAAAGCCTTGCAAACAGTCTGTTCTTATTTAAGATTTGGCTGTGCAACCACACCGCTCAAATCAAACACAGCATCTCTAAAGTAGAGGTTATCCACACAGGCTGAGCATTTTATTTTCCTGGGAAAGGGGAAGTGGTCATTCAAGCTAAACACCTTAGACAAAGCACGCTTCCCCATCTTTGCACTCTGGACAAGCTGTTTGTTTGCTGCTTGATGTTTGGATATGATGTACGTGGTGCCTAATTGCCTGACCATGCCCATCAAGGCACCATGCCCAACACTCCTCTTCCTTAGACAAGACGTACAAGATGTACAGGTTGCTCTTCTCATCATGTGAAAGGAGATGCTGTCAGCTCTTTCCACCCCTCGTGCCCCTGCAGTCTATGGATGGTTTGCCTGTTGTCTAAATGCAGGGCCAGATGTGATGTTTCTGAGAGAGACAGGCTCAAATCAACTACCCTTAGGACAAGCGGACAGGAACGGCTACGCATGTTTATTTGTGGCAGTGGTGTCCAGATTTCCCCATTTCACATTTTGTATCCATGTCTTCAGAAGTGCCAACTCAAGTCATGGATGCCCAGGGCTAGACCACAGCAGCTCTGAATCAGCCCTGGAAACACCAGCCCGTTATCAGAAGACTATCGCTCTAAAATTGCTATAGGCCCACATGATCATCTTCAACACGGTGTCAGGACTTACCCTTAAGCAGAGATAATGCAGATAATTACATATTATGTGCACCCAGTCATCTCAGTACTGCTTCCACCTTTGTGGAGACTTGCACATCACTGACCTTACTCACATGCTACCCCTGTGCCACTCTGCTTTCCACCATACATGGTGGAAAGAGGTCCCCATGCCACAGAAGCAGCAGTAATCCATTATTGCTTCCAGCCAGACACATCAGTCACTGACATTTTCCACATCATTTTCCACATCCACTCAGCGGCCTTAATGTTTAGCCCACTTGCTGATGACCAGACAAATGTGACATGGGAAAACAGAAGGTCAGCAACTGCTGAAACTGTCCAGTGATTCTGGAGATCTGAGGATGGCCACTGAGCAGGCATTACAGTGACTGCAACGAGACCAGTGCCAAGGCTGCTGTAGTAATTCACGGAAAAGGCAGGGCCTGGGCTTGGCTCCGTCACCACCACATTACTGTGTGGCTTCTCAGGGGTGAATGACAGCTCTCTTCTACCACGCCAAGCCCACAACAACCAGGATACCAAGCTGACAATGACCATCACCTCAGTCAGGTTTCAGCCATTCAGCTTCATCTTAAAGTCTGATCTAACACCAGCTACAGTCTTCCCAACTTCTGACAGTGGCACCAAGTTCTGCTTATACTACTGACCTGGGAGGAGAAGGCAGTAAAAAGCTCATACCACTCCTTATGATGCCATTCAGCTATGACTATGCCCTTACTACTGGATTTTGCACCCGCCCTGAAAATTAATAAATCCATATACAGGCTCATGAAAGACATACTAGCTCCTTCCAAGGAAGGAAGTTCCTTCCAAGGAAAAGGTGTTCAGCCTGCTGTCCTGGCAAGTGAGATGCTGTGCAGCAGCTGATCCAAAAGTGGAAGTACTTGGCCAAGATGAAAGACACAAACCCATGCTGCTAAAGGAACATCTGCCCCCAAAAAGAAGTCTTGGGAACTGAGGATTCCCACTGTCTGCGACCCTGAGCCCGGCATCATGAGTGTGAGAAGATGCTTTGTCATTAAAGCAGCGTATGAGTATGCCAGGTCTGGGTCCCGCCTTAAATGTTTGCTGCCACGCAGCTCAAGTCTCCCCATGGGGTAAGCTCTCAGCACTCCCTGCCAGTGCCTAGCCACAGTGTGGGGCAAAGATCAGCTCTTGCTTTACATGACATCCAGGCTCCAGGATTCTCGATGCTCTGAGGATACATATGTTCACTTTGGACTTTCAGGTAGGTTATGTCATGCAATAGAGTAACACACTGCCAGTGAGGAGGTGGAGAAGTGTCAAGCAGAGGGATGCTGCAACTTGTTTTGTTACCATAAGGAAGTCTCTGCTGCTGTGGGGATTCACCGGCTGGGCTCACCCAGAGGGTGGCAGGGGTAAAGGCAATAGGACCAGACTACGAACAGGACAGGACAAGGTGAAAGAGAACAGACAGCACTGCCTTGAGCACATCGCACTGCGAGCAGAGCTGGGGAAAAGGGGAGTGAACGTTCACCTTCACTCCATCACTTGGGCATCATGCAAGCAAAGAAACGTCCCATAAACAGCACACCGGGGAGTACCTGTGTTCTCTGCTCTCCATCGAACACAACCACACAGGTATACCCATCCCTGCCCACGATTTCATCTCGAAGAAAAAACACATCGCCTTCACCTGAAGGCAAGCCGGGCTTTACGCTTTGCCAGACGTTTTCCAGCAGCTGGAACACCCCGGCCCCTAGAATCAGCGCCTGATGCCTTCCCAGTCCCTGCCCTTCAGAGCAGAGTCCTACAACGCCGGGCGGCACTCACCGAGGAAGAGCAGCAGGCTGCGGACCCGCAGGCATCTGGCGTCCATCGCCCTCTCGTCCCGGGGAGAGAAGAGAAGGAGGAAGCAAGGGAGGAAGAGGCGGCAGCCGTTCGCAGCGGACCGGCTGGAGCCGTATGGGTGTCGGCCTCGCCGCGCCGGACCTTTATGGGCCAGCGGGAGAGGCGGGGCTCGGCTCCGGTGATGAAACCCCGGCTCGGCCGGGGGCAGGTCCCCGGCGTCCTCGCATCCTGCCCCGCCGCCCCCGGCCGGGCCGGGCCGAACTAAACCAAGCCGGGCCGTTCCACCCCCGGCAGGCAGGAGGTGCACCCAGTGGGGAGGGTAGGGGAGGAGCACGCCTGCCTGATCCCTCTGGCCCTCGCTTGCTGGCCATGCACATTTGATTTCCTTATTTTAGCAAGCGTTATGGCAAATTATACATGGGGTTGTAAATTTACCCATCCCCTCTGAGCCATCTGGCCAAGGATGCCTGGGATCTCCTGGGGCAGCGGATGCCCCGGCTGGATGCACAGCCTCAGCACTACTTGCCTTCAGCTCATCATAGAATCATAGAATGATTTGGACTGGAAAGGACCTGAAGATCACCCAGTTCCAACCCCCCTGCCATGGGGCAGGGATGCCTCACACTAGACTAGGTCACCCAAGGCTCTCTCCAAACTGGCTTTGAACCCTGCCAGGGATGGAGCATTCACAACTTTTTTAGGCAACCTGTGCCAGTGCCTCACCACCCTCACAGTAAAGAACTTCTTCCTTATATCTAACCTGAACTTCCCCTGTTTCAGCTTAAACCCATCACCCCTTGTTGTATCACCACAGTCTCCGATGAAGAGTCCCTCTCTGGCATCAGGGCGATGCTTAAGGGTGTGAGACTTTGCCAGTGCGGTGTGTATCTGGAGCCAACGGCTGCCTGGGTGGGCCACTGCACTGCCACACTGGCCACCATAAACCCAAGGCTGGGAAACACCTCAGGGTGAGCAGCTAGCAACTTGCTGCCCTCCCCCATCTCGCATCTCCTGACATCTGAAGTGACCCTCGCCACATATGAGCTGCTGCCAGGGTTGCAGCAGTTGACAGGGATGTCAATACCTGGACCATCTGTGATGGTCCTAAGGCCAGTGGGTGCTTAAGCTGCATTGCCCCTCCAGCCCTTGGCCTTGTCACAGCACGGGTAGCAACAGATCTTTAGTTACCTTGACAGCAGTTGACTAATTATGGCTATTTTTTTAAACAACTTCTTTTAAGTTATCTTGTTGAAGCCCACACACTGTCACTATGTTAGGCAAGGCCTTGTTCAGCACTTACGTGCCACCACTGGATAGCTGAGGGATACTCTACCCCCAAATCCCTACTGTATGCATCTGCCTGAAATATCAAGTGTGTTTTGTCTAACCAACCCGCTCAATGGTGGTTATTTCTTTTCCTTATAAAGGAAAACCTTCCTGTGCCTTATCACTTTCCATCGTCAAAAAGGCAAGGTGACACCCAATTTACTGCAGAATTGATAAGCCTGTCTCACAGCAAGGAATCTGAGTATTGATAGCAAGGTGCAGTTTAATAGCTGGCTAGTCAAGCACCCATAGTTTCTCCATTTTATCGGTAGTTATTCATACAAGATATAAGTTAATTGTAGAAAATACTGCAGAACATGATATACTACAACTCCATGCTCAGAATGTAATTACAAGTAATAAACAGGTTAATTCAGGGAGCTCGAATAGATCTGGCACTTAAAAGTCATATTCCTTCTTACTTTGGGAGTCTTTTCTTAGGTCTACATAAGTGTGGAGATGCTGAAATGAAATAAGGCAACATGTCACTAGAGAACTGTATGTCAGCACCACTTACACATTAGCTAAACAGTATAAGAGTTGGCAAGATAGAATCAAGATCAGTGTGAAAGCAGGATATAGAAGTTCATCCCCCACAATAAAGTGGGACATGACATAGTTGGAATTTTTTTCTGAGTCCTCTTCCCCCCCCCCCCAGCATTAGGCTCATGGCTTATCCACACAATCAGCATGCTGCTTTAAGGTTGGAGATGGCAGCTTTTTCTGATGCCACATGACTGGTTTTGTTGCTTCCTTAATTTGGGCTGATCCCCCTCATTAAGGATTTTATTGTCTGCCCTTTCAGGGATCAGAATGAGTAAAGGAAGGAATTGCAATTATTAGTAAAGCATTTCTGTGTGTGGGCATGCAGATGTCTTAAAAAGCAGCATCACTGTAGAACTTCCACTTTATAATTAATTTCACCCTTAAATTGCTGCATGATTTATCTTCTGAAAGACAGCACTTAATTATAGTCTTGTACCGGTATCCAGATACCAAGTAATGCTGACACAACTGGAGCAATTCATTGGAATTTCCTCTTTCAGATTTGAATATATGAAAAACAAGCATCATAGACACATCTTTATCTTTCTGCAATGTTCTTTACCTCATGGTATGTGGTTCTGCATTTGGCATCCCTGCTTGCGGCTTTCACCATCCTCTCCTTCATGTGGAGGCCACCTCTTTGGATACGGTTGGTACACACCTTCAGAGCCAGTTTTCCAAGAGACTCTTCACAGTAAGTAGTGCCTTCTTGCACCCAACGGGTTCATTGTGAGGTATGTTTACTGCATCCCACAGATCTGAGAATGGAGGGACATGTCTGTACAGTGCCAAGAGTTAGCACTGGTTGGGCAACAGAGCATGATGGGTGCACTCCAGCTAGTGGCCTCAATTGCAGCTGGGGTGAACTGGCACACCCAAGTCAAGCCAAGGATAGCTTTATGCCACTTGGCATCACACCAGTGGAGGCAAGGAGCCCCCAGAATGCTTTGACATTTCAGGATCTTTCTCTTTACAAAGCGTAACAAGAACATGAGGAAATATGTCTTGTGCAAAAGACTTCCTTGCTTTTATTACCTTGCAATGGTTTAATGACCGTCTTGAAGGAAAACTTTTATTTACAAAGCACACAGGCTAAACTGAAGTCCATGTTATGCTTTTAATCCTCTTTCACTGTCACAAGCATTCATCTCTCCATTTTGGACAGAGCAGCAGTGATTATTTCAAGGGTATGGACTGAGCTTTGCCTATCAGTTTAGCTATCACTGATGACAGAGGGTTTTCTATGAACAACATACCCTTTTCAACTTCGAGAGGGGAAAATACAGCTCAAACGTACATTTTTCTGGGCTTGAAAATGCTTTTCCTCACGGTGATGTGCTGTAGAAGAATACACGGGTTCATAGCCACTTTATGTATGTGTTTGTACATAACTAAAGGTGTACATAACAATACTACTTACTTTAGCTGCTTTCTGTAGGCCTCGCATCCAGTTTCATGCAGTATCATCATGGGGATGGATCTGCATTGGTTTTGTCTGTCAAGAATAAGACCTATTTTCAAAATCAACATGTTTTTGTTAGAAAGCATTTTTGAAACTGGAAGAAAATCATTCTTAGTCTAGGACTGAGGCACTTGGCACTGTCATACATACTCAAAGTAACAAAAAGCAGCATTTGCATTTTCATGCATCCCTGGGAAAATCTGCCAGCATTTTTTGAGACCAGCACAAGTGCATACATCAGTGTGCGTAAGAAATTTTTATATCTAGTGAGATTTCATTGCACAGCATGACAGATCCTCAAGAAGTACTCTCAAAAGAACAGAAAGCTAGTTGGAGCACAGCTCACTTAACAGCATTTACATTTGAGCTACAGAAAAACGAAAATCCTATGTGGCAAAACCCATGAGGCTCACACGTGAGCACAAATGCCCTAAGAAGGGAATACATTTAACTGACCTACACAGATAAGGTAGTCTGGAGGAAAGGGAGTAAGAAAAAACACCTTGAGCAAAACTTGGTTTCAGATCTGCCATGTATGTGAGGGCTGAATTAGGTCAGATGTTCTTAAACAACCAGGCTCTCCTGTAAACTATCAGAGGTCAGAACACTGACCCCAAGGCTGAAAGCAGCTGATGCCTCTTTCAGTAAACGCAGCAGGAGGTCAGAGCTACTGGATGACACCAAATTCAACCATTTCTTAGCCAACTTCTTGGGTCAGCATTAACTAGCAAATTAAAAAAGAAAGAAAAAACAACACCCCAAAACCCAAACAGCTAATTCCTGTCCATTTTGATGGGATGTCTCAGAAGATGAAGATGACAAGGTGGACAGATCTGCCCGTTCACACTGCACTGCTACCTGCAGGGCAGTTTTTAAAGCTTCGTTCTTCTGCCTAGTATAACAATTCCACTACTCTCCCCTGGGCAACTCCTGAATGGCTCAACACATCTCACTGGCAGGAAGAGCTTCATAATGCTCAACCAGTGTTTTCCCTTTCCTAATTACAGCTCAGTGCTCCATGCTAAGTGATTTCTTAGCCTCCAAGGGGTTTGGAGCTTTTTTCATTTGTGGAGTCTTTTCATGGCTTCTGCCTTCACTTGCTGCTACATAAACCTGTGCAAGCATTTTAACTGCACCCTTGTAAAGGATGTTATCAAACCAAGTCCTTCCCTTATTACTGCCCATGTATCTAGGAATTGTTTTTCCTTACTCCATGTAATTTATTAAGAATATGGGAAAGAGCAAGCTAGAAGATATGTGGTTTACCCCACAGCACATAGCAGGCTGCAAACAAGCTGCGAGACCACCATCCCTTTACCCATCAGTCCTGTGTGCTGTTCTGTACATCAGCACTTCCTTTGAGTTCATAAAGTCAGCTCTTCAACAGGGTTTGCATTCTCCAGGAAGACCAGAGTTAACCACTGAGAGACCAAACATGTGCAAATGTAAAGAGTGCCCTCTCTGATGGTTCACCGTGTGTATACATGGATGCAGCACTCAGACCCCTGCCTGGTGGCCAGTTTAACTGAAAGTATGATTCGGTGGCTGACCATTTAGCCCATCGACTCAACAGCTCTGCCCAGAGAGCAACATCCATCACAGGACAGTGAAATGACAAACACAACCACCACTGTGAGGACTGGTATGACTCAGGAGGCACTCACCGGCTCCTGTTAGGCATTCACCACAGTGGTCAGTCCTGGCTACAGGCTCTCCACCGCTACCTTCCACCCCTCTCCTGTATCTTCCCTCTGGAGAGTTGGTGCTAGCATGGGGAAGAAAAGGAGAAGAGATGCTGTATACGAGTGCCACAGTCAGCGGGAAGGGAAGACCTTCCCTGGGCAAGAACAGGGCCAGTACCAAGGTGTGCGCTAAAGCCTAGACAATATGTATGCTCGCACATGATCAGCTGAGCCTTCCTACCTGCTCCATTTGTGAACCTTGGCATCAGCAGCATGGTTACACAGGCATCACCTATGGTGGGTTCAATCCTTTGCAAGCTATTTTGCCCCTTTCATTGCTGCAGGGGGTGAGGGGATAAGTGCAGGGCAGGAGCAGAGGAAAGGCTGACTTGCAGGCTATTTCCCAGTCTCAGTATTGCTGTGCTTGGCCTGCTGAAAGGGAGAAGCAGCACAGAGCTGTGACTCACCCTGTGCTCCAGGCGTTGTAGCCAGCCCTAGACTCCACGTTTTGGCTGCAACTCAGCGGTGCCTGTCACCTGCATGAGGAGCTGGGGCACCCTCTACACCAGCAGTGTGTCATTAGAGATGATGGAGTAAACAGCAATCCACCTGAAACCAGCTTGGCCAGCACCCGTTCCAGAAACCAAGTCTAGGAAAGAGGCATGGGTCCACAGTGTATTTGTTTGGCCTGGTAACTAGCACTAGGCACAGGAGCAGATGCGCGTAGTGGAATTCCCCCATCCACTAGCATTATGGGACACTCCCATTACTGTTCTGATAATTACTGTTAATCATTACTATTACTGAAGTGACCAAAAAAAAATAAAAAGGCTGTCATGATCAGGCCTTTATTGTGTTGGCTGTTGTCACGCAAAGGTGATGAGCCAGCCTGCCCCAGGGGACCTATAAACATGGCTGACAATTCATCACCACACTTGTATTTCTAAATAGGACACTGTGGTCCACAGTGAAGCTCCCCTGCAACTCCAGCAGGGATAAGCTGTGGCACTCCCTTGGCTCACATCAGCTCGGAGCCAGGCTCTTCATACCATGCTCCCTTTCTGTCAAGGTGCAGCTAGAAAGAAAAGAGGCTGACCAGGAATGTTTTGGGGTTGCAACACTCAGCATGATGTTCCCATTTTGTGTTTTCCCTGTCCAGGCCCATCCTGCTATAAAACTCTATATTCTTTGATCTCCAGTGAATTCAGTACCATCACATCTCGAGGGCCAACCATGAATCACATGGTATGCGGAAACTTCTGGGGTTTCATTTGGGAATGACCAATACTATGTGAAATCACCTTCTAGTCACCTTCTCCTCCCAGCCATGGTCTGAACATCACCTCAGGTATCCAAGCCTCCCCAGACACCTAGGTTCCTAGGTCAAGGACTGAAGAAATGGATTAGCCATCTTATCCACACAACAGGTACCAAAAGAGATCCCCAGGGAAAGACATGGGCCTCTGTGGGTCCAAGAAGGGCAGAGATATCTCCAGCACAGGTGGACACCATCTGGATGTCCTGGGGGAGAGGTGCCAGCAGCTGAGACACTTCCACAGATAACTCCTCCACATGTTATCTCCACATCCACCCCCCTATCCCTGTTCCTGCAGCTTGATGTTATTTAAGAGATGCAGATTTCCTTCATGACACTCAGAGCGCATGCGTATAAATCAAGTGGGACAGGACAAAGGCCAGGGCTGGGTTTAATTAGATTGGCGTCAGCTATTAAATTAAGAACACAGTACCAAGCTAGGGCAGGCAGTTCTTGATCAATGCTCCTGCAGCCAGAATCTATCCTTCCTACATGACAAAAAGAGCTGGGGATAAGGTCAGGTAGCCAAAGCTGCCAACCACAAGTTAGGTCTCTGAGTCTAGCTAAACTCCTCAGCAACGACAGTCCCACCAGAGGACTTTCAAAAAGAATAGGAATCCCTGAAAACTACCTTTTTTTGAGAGCCCAAAGAGAGGCTGCCCATTAGATGCTCAGGATGAGACACTTTTGGCCACTGAGCTGCAGCATGCCTACAGCAGAGGTCACCCCTTCACACCTAACACACTGGTGTTCCAGCTCCACACCCAGATTAATCTACCCTGCCCATACCAAGCACACAGGCAGTCTGACATCAACCAAAAAAACATTATGTCCACACAGGACATGGCCTGTCTGAGGTGAAACATGCCAGAATCTGTGCAGAACATGGCCCTGCTCTTGTCTGTCCGTCCCAGCTCCTCAAATCCTTCCCTCCCATTTTGTTATTGTAACATTCCCCTTCATGAACCAGAGTCGAATTTCCAGGAAGGGCAACTGTGTATAAAGCAAATTTCCATCTTTCCAAATCAACTACTTTATAGGGCACATGGGTTAACTAAACTAAAAAAGAGGTCTCAATTCAAGTTTCTCTCCCCTCTCTCCTAGAGCATTCTTATGCAATGTGGTCCTGCGTGCATTTGACAACTTGTGGCAGCTTTGATGACCACATCACATCTCATCATAGCTGCTGGCCCACTGCATTGCAAATGTTGGAATTCTTTTACGTAGATCCAAGTAACATCCTTTGGGCAATGGCCTTCAATTGTTTACTTGAGTTTCCATAAACAGGATATTAACAACTTGCAAATATCCTGTTGGAAGTTCCTCAGCTGTACTTGCAGGCTCACAATCAGTTTGATGCATGCCCATCTGCAGTAAGTCCCTCTACTCCAACTTCACTGGAAACATTGCACAACTGTCACTGATCACAACAGTTACCTCTAATTGTACGTACCAAAGCTTCTGCTTCATGGCTTCTACAGATTGTTTGTAGGGGAACTGTAAATCAAAGAAATAAAACATTATTGTTGTCAGCACTTTCTGTAAGCCAAGAACTTAGCTGTGTAATTCTCGTTCAGGCAGAGAAAGCAAATTACACTGCTCTCAATTCTTGTTCCTACATCTCACCTAGAGGTAGGGTTTGGTTTTTTTCCCCTTTCATATAAACTTCCACTGCAGCTGACTGAAGGCAGTGACATGCATGTGTACACACAGACATGGAAAATAAAAGATTTTCTTGGGTATTCCTTTGGTGTGGTGAAATTGGGTGTTTTGACAATCAATAATTAGCAAATTTCCTGCTACAAATCTAAAAATACCTTTCAAAAAGAAGTCTTAAAACTAAAGTCTCACATTTGAGCAGTCCACCTCAGGACATACCTTAGCAGAGTTACAGATAAGCCAATACTTCCCTCTAAGGTAAACACTGTATTAAAAGCAATGCACACCTACCCTGGCTGGACCATATTCAGCTGACTAGAGAGAGCTAGCTCTGTGGGCTGGAGGGGTGGACTTCACACAGAGGGAAGCTCCAGCCTGGAAGCAAAAAGAAGACCAAAAGGAAGAACCCTTGGTATAGGAGAAGTAGAAGCACCAAGATGTGTCACTCCTAATCCACATGAGAATAACCCACTACTGGTGCAAAGCAGAGTGATAGTACATCCTTAGCTTCAAAACAGGTGGCTCAAGGAACTGTAACTCCTACAGGCTACAACCATACTAACATCAAGTCAGATGACAGTAAAGCAGTCAAGAAAAAATAGCTAACCCAACCTTAAATACTGTTTGGGTAGGTGAAGGAGTCCTCACATGTTGTTGCTGTCTCCAAACATGTTACAACTAAAAGACATCTTGTCGCACCTACCTGGTGCCCTTTGAAGTTTAGAGCTGTTTCTCACCAACTGGGGTCTGCACATTACACAGATCGTAACACTGTCCCATGGATATTAATGCTTCTCTGAGTCCAGCTCTTTTCCCCCAGCTCCTATATCCCTATCTCTGTCATACCCTTGACCAGAAAACATACACAGCCTTCTATCTAAGGTGCTATCTCCCATACAGATACTCAGTCAAGCTGTGCACTACAGTAAAAGCTATCTGTCTGAGCCAGTCCAGCTTACTGTCCTCACGGAAGATGGTTCCGAAAGTAAAGAGGGAACAGCTTACTATCCTGGCCTCTTTAGAAGGGCCACGACAGCTATGCCTCCATCCCTGAATTGTGGCTGTATTGTATTTCCCCAGCCCATTCCTCTAGTGGCATGTGTGACAGGTAGCAATCCTTGTTGGCTAGTCACTTGGGCCCACTCTAAAACTTTCTCTTCCCCTTGCGCCCAGGTGGATGCTGCATTGCTCATCCCCCAGCAATGCCTTCCTGTCACTAGCACATTTCCATCTCTTCCCATCTCCTAGATCCAGTCCCCTACAGCCATCACCCTCATTTGCTGCTTTGTCTGATCACCATCCTGAACAGCAACTGGGCAGAATGGCAGTGCATAAAGCCAAGACTACATGGCACAGAACACACACTGGTACGCGGTGGCCTTGTAATGATTTCTCTTCCCAAGAGTCCTCAGGACACATCAGAACAAGGCACTGGACTTAGAATCATAGAATAGTTTGTGTTGGAAAGGACTTAAAGATCATCTAGTTCCAAATTACTCCTGGGAGACTGAGATAAGCCTTCCTACGCTTTGTGACCTTCCCATTCCACATCTCCTCCCCCTGCACACACACTCCCAGACTTTGGTAGAAAGGACATGAGTCATATGCTGTGTCACAAGCAAGAAAAACCTGGAACATGTCTCATTTCGGCCTCATTCTCACGATATTTTCAGTGGGGCCAGTGTCACCAAAACCTTCACAGGCAGGACCCCATTTTCTTTCCCTCTCCTCCTATGCCCGTCTCTTGGGGGAAAGGAGAGGGCAGGAAATGCTGCTCCTGACACACTCTGAGCAGCCTTTACTCTGGCTGCAAGAGCTGCCCTGGCTGTACCCATGTTGGGGTACACACTGCTCTGGTGTCATTCCTGCTGCCACCACAAGTGGAAAATGTTGGGCCTGTTGTTCACACCCCAAACCCACCATTACCACACCTGAACACAGACAACTGCATTTGTGAAATGTGTTCCCTGTGAATGAAATCCTCATAAACTTTAATTCAAAACCATGAGGAAAAGGCAGTGGTGTGAAGTCCTGACGCTACTTATTCTAAAGTAAATGACTGGACTGCACTATGAACTCAGCTGGGCTTCAGATTGCTCTGCAGATAACGCAGGAGGAAACTGTAACTTATACCACTACTAGTGTGTCTACAGCTAAGGAATGAGATAACTAAATGCCCTTGGGGAGATATGAGAGGCATTTAAAGCAAAAAAAAACTGCTTACCTTTCCCTTACTAGGTAGGCAGATAAACACAAATATCTTTGTTCAATAGTGCCTGAAAGTCTGATGCAAACCCTCAAAAGCAAAGGAAATGAAGGCTTAGAGGCAACCATGATGCAAGGAAGTGCAACCCTAGCAACAGAACATCCCCTGGCTGCTCAAATAGCAGCAGCTAAGGAGAACTGTGAGAACTGACAAAGATCATGGGCAAAAGGAGGATGGGAGGGCAGAGGCTGGTAGATTCATGCTGGACACAGAGGCTGGGGTGTTTCACAAGGGCATTCCCAGCTCACCAGGCACCACAGTGTATTCAGACTCTCAGTCACATGGCTGCTGGGATAGACACTGCTTACAGCATGCTAAAGGAGGGTGGGAGCAATTTGCTTTAGTGCTCTTGCCAAAAGCCTCTATTAGTGTCTGTTATAAAGCTCCAGAGAGGCAGAACATTCCTAAAACCACTTTATTAAAATCAGTAACACCCGAAACTCCCTCCTTCCCCCAAGTTGTTTATGGATGGCAAGGAAGCAAGCAGCAAAAGCAAAAGCAGAGAGAAAAGCCTTCGCTTTCTCTGCAGTGTGCTGGGCCAGGGGAGTCTCTGTATGATTTCAACTGCCTGCTTCTCCCACAACACATGCTGAGGGTGATACTGGTTTTCCATCTACAGATGCAAAGTGTTAAGGACTACGTATTGGTTTACCACCCTCTGCACCTACTAAACACCTTAATCCCCATGGCATCCGTGTGGCTATTCCGATACTTCCCTGGTGGTAGCACCAAGGCACATGCAGTGTCTGCAACTCACCAAATGCGCGATCAGACATAAAGGCTTGGACCAGCATCTCCCATGATCCAGATCATGGAGCCTTTTCACACATGGCTTCCTCTGTGGCTGGTGAGTCAGAGTAGTGCCAGCTGCCTCCCTGACTCCTTACCCTGATACTCTAGCTCCAATCTACACTGTGGGAGAATGGAAATTTAAAGCTGAGCAAGGTAAGAGATTTAAGAGTGACAAAAGTGTCAGGTCATTAGACTCAAACAAGGGACCACTCTACAAGCTGGGACATGTTAGATCCTGTGCATGGGGGTCTTGGCAGATCAACCCACACTTTTCTCCCTTTGCTGCTTCACTGGCACAGGGCAAATCAACTTTTAGTCATGTCTTGTGCCTGCAGTTTCAGACCCTATTTGAGCTCAAGCTCCTGAACTAGCAGCCCTCCTGAAGCAATGCAAGTTTATTTTGTATCACCAAATTCCTCATGATATATGGAAAGCTTTGCTGGGATTTCTTTGGCAGTGACTTGCATTATATCATATTGAACTGTAATTTTGTATTATTTCTATTATCATTTTTGCATTCTGCACAGGGCCATATACCTGGGGGGGCAATTTAACCTGTGGAAAGGACCAGACTACGGAAGACTGTGCAGGCCCCGATCTGCATCTTTATGCACAGAGACCTGCCACTGTGCTGTGGCAGAGCTCCCTCTCCAAACACTCATACAGGGCTCCATGGGCACATGGATCCAACTCTCCCCACACAGCTGGAGTTGGGGTTTGCCGGTTTGATTTTAGTTTTCCTCTGAGTTCATCCAAGGGGAAGTTCAGGTTAGATCTAAGGAAGAAGTTCTTTACTGTGAGGGTGGTGAGGCACTGGAATGGGTTGCCCAGGGAAGTTGTGAATGCTCCGTCCCTGGCAGTGTTCAAGGCCAGGCTGGACAGAGCCTTGGGTGACATGGTCTAGTGTGAGGTGTCCCTGCCCATGGCAGGGGGGTTGGAACTGGATGATCTTAAGGTCCTTTCCAGCTGTAACTATTCTATGATTCTATGAAATGGCATGTTTTCTGCAGGGCTTTCTGAACATGTCCTGATCTGCATCAACCCCAATTCTATGATAACAAAGATTATTTTTGTGAGAAACTTGCTGCTCAAACACCTGAAATCGAAGTTAGAGCCTCAGCTCTGCATCAGTACAAGGTATGGTATGCACATTAAAGTCAGTGATGTTCTATCATACACACAGGGTACCTCTGTTAACATTTGATTATCTACTTCTACGTCAACTAGACACTGATCACAGAAAATACATTTTGCATAGCAGGAATTCTGCATGTGAAAGTGCACCTGAAGTGCTGAAGGAAGTATGAACATTGCTTTGTTATTTGCTCATTCTTAAATGTATTCAATGGTTTTGAAGACAAGGGGATTTGGCTTGTATCTGTGTCATGTTTCCTTTCAATCCAAACAGATACAACTAGGTGTACTGAAGGAGAGGAGCACCCTAACTTTAATTCGTTTCACTTACGGAAAATCAGTCCTCAAGAGGTGGACATGAAGGACTGATGGATAGCTGATACCAAAACCTTGTGAAAATACACAAAGTCAAATTCTCACCACTGTCAGGTGTCACTTTAGAAGTCACTGCTTAAAGTGGACAATGTTAATTCGGGCTGCTTCAAAGCCTAACAAAGTTGATGAAAAAACGCCTGGGATTTCAACAGGCTTTAACTAAAATGTGCCCATATATAGTCAAGTGCCACCAAGTTTTCTTCTCCAACCAGGGTGGTTTTTTTTTCCCCCTTCTAGTGATATACAAAGTACACTTATAATTATGAGCTTCTGTTACTGAATAGCACATTGGCTTATATCTCTTACCTTACTCTTCTTACATACCAGGGTATATCTTGCTAAAGAAAACACCATAAACAAATGGGAACCTTTAAGAAACCCACGGCACTCACAAGGCAAACATCTAAATGCCCAAGGACTCAGCTGGTGCAAGAAGCCTAAGTCTGCATCTGCTGAACTCAACAGATGTTTCACTGTAGCCTGCAGCAGGGCTGGAGTTAGGCCAGTGTTAATTGAGAAAATCCCAAGTCCCTGTTTTATGATTAATTCTGAAAAGCCTACAGTGGAGGCATTCAATTCCAACATTTCACGAATACTAAATAGTTTAAAGCACAATCAAACGAACCCTCCTCGGAATGATTTTCAACCCCCCTTTAAAGTCCTTCCAGGCTGCAGTTTTAATGCAGCACCTGAATTACAATAACACATTGGGCAAGGTTATAGGATACTCCATACAGGGGCATCTTCCCTCTGCCTAAGTGAACTGAGGTGGTCAAACCAGTGCAAACATACCTTAACAGGACAGGAAAACAAGGACAGAAGGCTCCATGTTTCCTCCCAATTCTCTGAGACCTCTTGCAGTTTTTTTCTCAGCAGGGTGCAACTCAGCCTTTGGGAAAACTCAGAAATGGGGTTAAAATGCTACTCTGCAGCTCTCCCCTATGGCTCGTTCAGGGGAAAAGCCTCTACACAAGAGTAAACCTACATGGTTTCTTTCTGCATCAAGCTACTCATTCTTGGTGGGAAGACAGGACACCCACTTTAGGTAGGCCAGGAGAGCTGAACCTGAAAGGAACCATCCTTGACCAGAGGAAAGGGTCAGAGAGGAATGTGAAGGGCCACAAAACTCTGCCCACCTACCCCAAAACTCCTTACTGTTGCTTTGACATCATGGCCATTTCTGTGCAGGCCTCAGAGCATGTGTGTTGCAGTAAGGTCATGTTCTTCACCTGTGTCACTCCTCATTCTTCTTGGGAACAATCAGGAAGAAACTCCTGGTGTCTCTTGGCTCATGCACACATTTTTCATGCACAGGGGAGCACCTAGCCCATAGAGAACATTTTTTTGCTGCTGTAATCTTGATGAAAAAAGTAGTTAGTGATGGAGGAAGGAATTCAGGACATGGCTGAAAAGTGCCCGAGGAAGAATCTGCAGATGTATTTGAACATGAGAAGTTGTAAACATGCCACCAAAAAGGTCAAGAGAAGTATTACCAAGGCAAGGGGAAAGGCAAGAGAATATCCTGTCTTTCAGCCTCTTGGGAGCCCTGCTGGGATTTCATGGAGCCTGTTCACTCCAGTGAACCCAGACACTATAGAAGTCATCGATGGGCAGTGAGAGCTATAAATTTACTTTTAGCTGGAAAACAGGAAAACCCCCATGCTTTAACCTCCGGTTGTTGGACCCACACAGGTGCTCATGCAAGTGATACCCTATTAGGAGAGCACACAGCTGGGACAGGGCTCACTATCTGCCTTCTTGGCCACCACAGTGAAGTCAGATGTGTCCTTGTTCAACCACATCCTTTACAGGATCAGCCCATCATAGAATGATTTGGGTTGGAAAGGACCTAGAGACCATCTCGTTCCAGCCCCCTGCCATGGTCACACAAGACCATGTCACCCAAGGCTCTATCCAACCTGGCCTTGAACACTGACAGGGATGGAGCATTCACCACTTCCCTGGGCAGCCCATTCCAGTGCCTCACCATCAGTAAAGAACTTCTTCCTTATATGTAACCTGACCTTCCCCTGTTTCAGTTTGAACCCATTACCCCTTGTCCTATCTCTACAGTCCCTAATGAAGAGTCCCTCCCCAGCATCCCTATGGGCCCCCTTCAGATACTGGAAGGCTGCTATGAGGTCTCCACGCAGCCATCTCTTCTCCAGGCTGAACAGCCCCAACTTTCTCAGCCTATCTTCATTCGGGAGGTGTTCCAGTTCCCTGATCATCCTCGTGGCCTCCTCTGGACTTGCTCGAACAGCTCCATGCCCTTTTTATGTAGAGGACACCAGAACTGTACACAGTGCTCCAAATGGGGTCTCACGAGAGCAGAGCAGAGGGGCAGAATCACCTCCTTCCACTTACTTTCAACTACTGAAACAACAGTTTGCACCACAAGGACCAAAGCCAGTTCCACTGCTGGCACATGTGTTCACGTGAAGGGGGTCCACAATACAGCAAGGCAAGTTAGGAGCTGTTGTTTTGGGTATATTAACCAAGCTACACATGGTCACACAGGGGGTACAACGAGCTGTTCCACTGTAAAAGCATACACAGGAAACCAGCTCACAGCTGAAAAAGAGGCCACTGCAGGGAGATACGCATCTTTTGTGACTTTCAACAGGACTCACTGTGCCATTTATGGAACTAGTCAACTGTCTCCAAACCTAGTTTAGGGTCTTGAACTTTGTTTTGCTTTTAAATAATCTTTTTCTTTTGAGTTGTTTTATAGGGTCAGGTTCTGAGTGACTGATTTTACAGGTTCATTAAGCACAGTGCCCTTTGCCAGACTCAACTAGTCTCCACCTTCTTGTTCACAAGCATCCTGAAATTCACAGTTCTGCACCTCTGAGAATAAGGCAGCAAGAGAAATCAGCAGAAACTCCTATTTGAAGGTTTCACAGCCACACTCTGTTACAGCCATCAGGTAGCAAAGGACTCCTACAAGTCTGATCTCAAGTTGAACAGAAAGATTAGGCCTCAACAGCCTAATCCCATGGGAATTGTGCATTCAGTTATTTCCCTTGCTGGATAACAAAAGTAACAGTATAAAACCAGGGTGGCTATTCTTCTAGGCCTGCACTATCCATTGCTAAGGAAATCCTCAGCACTCAGACCAACGCTACTAACCTCAATAAGGCTGTAGTCATTGAAAGCAGCCAAGGATGGGAGTAACACATACCTAAATCCTCTTAACTTGACCAGGGTAGCCACAGTGTCCGACTCCAAAGTGAAGCTGCGCATCTGCCTTCTCACCCTCACCAACAGCTCCTTTCCCTCCCCTTCCCACATGTACAACGATAAATCCCAGCTTGTCAAACTTAGATTAAGCTGCTAATGTCCACCAAACGTTGTGCCAAACCTACAAAGACTTGTACCAACATACTTACACTTTAGATGCCAAGAGTTTCCAAAAGACACAAACACAGATGAGGCCACTTAGAATCACTGCACCATAGAATCAATCAGGTTGGAAAAGACCTTTAAGATCATTGAGTCCAACCATTCCCCCAGCACTGCCAAGACCACCACTAAACCATGTCACTAAGGACCTTGTCTACACAGTTTGTGAACACTTCCAGGGACGGTGATTCCACCATTCCCTGGCAGCCTGTTCCAACACCTGACCACCCTCTCAGTGAAGAAATTGTTCCTAATATCCAATCTGAACCTCCCCTGGCACAGCTTGAGGCCAT